TATAGTGTAAACATAACTTACATGCAATGAGAAACCAAAAAATTCATTTGACTCACTTTGTTGCAATATTTGCTTTATTACAGTGGTCTGCAAACAAAACCCACAATATCTCTGCGGTAAGTCTATATGTGAATTTTTGTAGGTTAGCACTTGGAATTAAGCAGATGCCTTGTACCCCCAAAAGTCTGCTCCTGTGACCCGGCCTCTCCAGAGACATGCCCTGTTTCTGGTCCCTAGCTACCCTAACCCGCGCTGCCCACAAATGTGCAGATTGCACTGTCTCAGCTGGCCTTCGGTTGTTAGCATCCTCCAGGCCTATTGGGCTCAGGCTGGTCTCCGAAACCTGCATAGCCTCCAGGATGGAAAGTGCCCACTCCTCAAAAATCTTTCTGATTTGATTTGATTAAACCAATGATTTGATTAAACAGTCTGCATTTGGATTGACTGCCTGATGTGGTCGTGGTCTTAGTCAGCCATCAATGCTCCCAGGTGTCTATTCTTGGACGGTACCCAACAGTTCTGGCTGTTCCATGCTGGCAGGTTTGTGCACTTTCCTCCACCTCTGCCTTCAGGAGAAATATGCACATTTGTGTAAAATAAGGCTTGGAATTAGATGCCAGGTACTAGAAAAAGACTGCTTCTGTGATCTGGCCTCACCCTGTTCCAGGTTCCTGGCCACCCTGACTTGTGTGACATGCACATGGGCAGGGCGTCCCCTGTCATCCATCCTTGGGTAGCCAGAACCCTCTAGGCCTGTGGAGCTAGGGCCTACACTTAACCAACTGCACATCTTCGGGAATGGAGGGAGACCTCCCCCTGAAAACCATTCTGAGACAACCACTGAAATGGGTGACTGGGGACCCCATGTGGACCTACTGTCTGCTGGAGTCCCAGGCTTCGGGTGGCAATCAAGGCTTCCAGGTGTCTCTTCTTGGAGACCACACATTCCATCCCTGGCAAGACAACCCAGATTACTCAGGCTCTGCCATCAATAGGAATAGGCACATTTGTGTAGATTATGGCTTGGATTAGGTAGATGCTTTATAACCCCCAGGGCCTACTACAGTGACCTGGCCTCTCCAGATGCCTTGCCCTGTTTAGGTCCTTGGCCACCCTGACCCATGCCACCTGTGCATGCTTACTTTGTTTGCATGCACTTTTTTGCACTCTTGGGCAGACTCGGCACTGAAGCCCGTGGAACTCTAGCCAGGCCCCAACCACCTGCATAGCCTCTGGTGTCGTGGGAGCCCACCTCCTGAAAACCACTCTGAGATGGCAACTGGAAATGGCTAACAGTGTTTCTATGGATTTGCTTCCTTACTCGAGGCTTCAATGGAGACTAGTGCTTCCAGGTGTTTCCTAATGGAGGATACCCTGCCCTGCCTGCCTGGCTCCTTCCTGGCAAGGAAGTTGAAAAACTTCCAGCTCTGCCTTGGAGGGGGAGAATTGTGTACAATGGTAGGTAGGCCTTGCAATTAGGCTAAAGTTTTTTCTACCCCCAAAGAACCTGTGGGGGTTCTCCTCTCAGTTCTCATGTGCGAGAACCTCTCCCAACCCTTACCCTTTTCCAGGACCCTGGCCACAGGCACATGTGAGTCTGGCACATACACAGCACACACACTGACAGCTGCCCTTGAGCAGAGAGGCCCTCCAGGCCTTCGGAGCTTGGGCCCATCCCTTACCACCTGCATTGCAAAAAGTGGAGGAAGCCCACCCACCACCCCCCAAAATCACTCTAAGGTGTTAGCTGAAATGGGAGACTGCCAGTCTCCTTGTGGGCTGCTTGCCAGATGTGGTCCTGGGCTTGTGCTGTAGTCGGGCTCCCAGGTGTCTCTCTTTGGAGGATACGTTGGTGAGCCAAACCAATGTAGACCTTGCAAAGCAGTCCAGATTCACTCAGCTCTGCCTTCAGGTGAATATGTGCATTTGTGTACCAGAAGGCTTGGGATTAGGCAGATCAGGTACCTCCAATAGTCCCCTCCCCTGCCTGGGCCTCACCTGACATTGACCTGTTCCTGGCTACTCTGATCCATGAAGGTATCCTTCAATAAGAGGCACTTAGGGTTCTTGATTGCTGCAGAAGCCTCCAACCCCATCATGCAGCCAGGCCATGTGGGCTGACTGTAGCCAGTTTAAAGCTGCTTCCTCAGAAAGATTTTTGGTGGTGAGCTACATCCACCCAAAATGCTATGTAGGTGATTGGGGACTTGGCGTGAAATCCTAGGCCTGATGGGCACTGGCTGCCTGGGCAGGCTGACAGGTGCGTACTGCACATGCATGGGCCATGCAGGTAGCCAGGGACAGGTGTATGCGGAAGCCAGATAACAGGTGCAGGCTATAGGGACTATAACATATCTCCCTAATTCCAGGCTCTAACATAGACAAATCTGCCTGTTCAACTGGGGGTAGAACCGGAGGAATCTAGATGACCTTACCAGGGTGGGGACGCACGGGATGGTCAGGTACACCCAAATGTGTACTGACAGTCCTCAATGTAAAATGGAGCCTCAGAAATACTTTGAGCTGGTGGGCTCCCTACACCCTGAGACCACTCAGGTGGTTGATGTCCTACCAGAGCTCCATGGACCTGGAGTGCCCCTGCAAATGCTAACAGTGTGCAGACGGCACATTCATCGTCCGTGCAGGTCAGGGTGGCCAGGACAATATCCTGAAGCGCCTGTTCACAGGGAGAAGCATTGGGGGTTCCTGACATCTGCCTAATTCAAAGCATTCACCTACACAAATGCTCATATTCCACCTGAGGGCAGAGCTGGAGGAATTTGGACAGACCTGCCAAAGTGGGTCAGCCCAGGATAGTTAGGGTACTCTCTAAGAAGAAACACCTGGGAGCCTTAGATCCCTGGATCCAGGTAACACCTGGAGAAGCCTAGGATTACATCGGGCAATCCATTCCAAATGGGGACTATCTGTTGCCAATTAAATCTGCAGCCTCAGAAGATTTATAAGGAGTGTGCACTCTCCACATTGGAGCTTGTGAAGGTTTTGGAGAAAGGCCTAAGCCCAACAGACCTAGGGGGCCTGGGCACCCAAAGGCCAGCTGACAAAGTACAGACTGCATGTTTATACGTAGCACAGGGCAGGGGAGACAGGGACATAAAACATGACAGCTGTAGGGAGAGGCTGGGTCCCAGGAGCAGGTTACTGGGGGTACTTGCTTCTAATTCCAAGTGCTAATTTTCACAAATGTTCATATTTCCCCTGAAGGCAGAGCTGGAGGAATCTGGACTGCTTTGCTAGGGTGAGTCCACACAAGATGGTTGGGGTATATTCCGAGAAGAGATATCTGGGAGACTTGCTTGATGGGGAACCCCAGGACCCCACCAGGCAGCCAGTCCACATGGCAACTGACTGTCACCGGTTTAAATCTGCCTCAGAAAGGTTTTCCTGATGTGGACTCCCTCCACCATGAGGCCAGGCAGGTAGCTGTGGTGTTTCCAGAGCTTCAGGCACCTGGACTGCAGCTCTGTCGCCTATGGCCAGCTGGACGAAAGTGGATGGCCTTGTCAACGTGGGGCTGGGCCCATAGGCCAGGGTCTTCCCAGTATGAGACACCTGGAAGACTTGTAAACTCAGGACCTCATCAAGCAGCCAGTCCAAATGGGGACTGTCACCAGTTAAAAGCTACCATCTCAGAATTTGGGGAGGTGGACACCCTCTGAGCTGATGGCGATACAGGTGGTTCGGACCCACCCTAGTTCTGCTGGCCTGGAAGGCCATGGCTGCCCTCATCAAGTTGATGGGGTGTGTGTTACACATTCTCAAGCTGCTCAGGTCAGGGTAGGCAGGAACCTAGAAGAGGGTGAGTATCTGGAGAGGTTGGACCATGGGAGTACATGCTGAATGTCCAAGGAATCTGCCTAATTCCAAGCACTAATCTACACAAATGCACATATTCCCCTTGGGGGCAGAGCTGGGGGGATCTGGTCTGCCTGCCAGGGCAGGTGAGGCAGCATGGTCTAGGAACCCTCCCCTAAGAGACTTCACGACCTCACAGTTTGTGGGTTCCAGCCCTACATCAGGCACTGCACTGACCGTGTGGAAGCCTTCTTGGGATTCTCTTTCCCTCTCTCCCTGCTTCCTCTCCCACTCACACTTTTTCTCTCTCTCTCAAAAATAAGTAAACTAAAAAAAAAAGAAAAAAGATATCTAGGAGCCTTGATTGCTAGAGAAGCTCAAGAAAGCATCAGCCAGCCAGTCCAAATGGGGACTGACTACTGCCAGTTTAAATCTGTGGCCTTGGAAAATTTTTCTCAGTATGGGCTCCCCCCACCCTGAGGCTTTTCAGTTGATTGGATTCACCCAGAGCTCCAGGGGCCTGGATGGCCACCTGCAGCCCAAGGCCAGCTAACAAGGTGTGAACTGGGTATGGGTGGGACAAGCAGGTCAGGGTACCCAGGGACCTGGAATGGGCAAGTGTTGGGAGAGGCCAGGTCACAAGTGTGGGCCATTGTTAAGTCCAAGGCATCTGTTTAATCCAAGCCCTAACCTATAAAATGTACATGTGGGGGCAAATGGCAGAATGCCCCCAAAATGTGCCACTTCAGCATATTATTTTGGATTAAAGTCACTTAGGAAACAGCCAGTACAAGAATAACACTCCCAACAGCTTTGTCTCTAGAAAGCAGGAAATAAATCTCCCATGTGAAAAGTACCCTCCCTGTATCAGGATGTAAAGATAAATTTTAATCACCAGATAAGGAATTCAGAGATAAGAAGGCTGTGTAAACATCTTGTTACTTTTACTAATTTACTACCCTAGCTCAAATTCTGTTAGAATTTCTTTAAAACTGAAGCTTGTGAACCTAAGTTTTCTTTGTCTCATCAATTTCTCACAGATTTATTGATTCTTTGATTATAAAGCATGAAAATGCCTGCTTTGGTTAGTTCATCGAGTCTCAAACTTAATATCAGCCCTCCTTGTGCATATAATTAAACTATTTTTCTCCTGTTAACCTGTCTCTTGTCAATTTAATTCTTAGATCACCTAGAAGAACCTTGAAGGTAGAGAATCGTTCTTCCTCCTCAACAGTTGGCATAGCCAGCAGGATAAACTTTAGCTGGCTGGACACTGCTGCGGCTGAGAGATTATGGGACATCTGACAAAAGCTGGCACGAGGGAAGAATCCCCATCACCACATCAGCCAACTGGATCTCTGCCTGCCAGGTCTCGTGCAAGTGAGAGTGATGTGAGTCCTTTTTCTCTCTCTTCCTAAATCTAAGTTAGCAGGAGAAAATATTTGTGGAACTAGTGCCTTGGCTCTAATGGCTCTGGTGCATTTGGTAGAGTTCTCTTGGCTTCGCACATCGATTTCCACCCAGAGATGACCACAGCTTTTCTTTATCATTGTATTTTGTGTCATTTGTCATCAAAATGAATTACCATAGCAGAGCACACAGACATAGTCCCGGTCAGCCTGTTGTTCGAGTTGGCCTCACAGACTGGTGAGGTCACAGTTACCATCACATCTGTATCTGTTTAGACAAACTTTGCTGCGGGTCGTCTATGTAAAAGCCGGATGAGGTTTTTCCTTTTGTTTTGTTTTATGTCCTCAGAGCTTGGCTTTGTGACCAGTGAGAATATTCTCTCTGGTCTCCACCATCCACAAGATTGAATTACCAGAGGGTACTGTGGTGGCCTGTCAAGTAGAATGAGGTTCTGAGACACACAGTTACAAGCAGTACTCTCATTGTCTGGCCTTGCCAGCAATCGGGAGTTCTATGTTATAAGAGGTCCCAGCCCATAAGGGACCCTTGTCTTCGTAACCTCCATTAGTGCTAGAAAAGTCTCATTACAGTAGTGCCTGCCCGATGTCACAAATTAGTGGGTCTGTGACTAGAGATGTCTCACATTTTTGTGGGAGACCAAAGGTATTATTTTCTTTACACCATCCTAACTGCCTGTGCAATGAAGGCCTGTGCTGTCTTAGTCTATTTTGGGAGTAAAATTTTGGACCATGGGGGATGTATCATCTATGCCCTCACCCAGGATGCCTCTTGGGTTCTGGTCTAAGCCTGAAGAATTGCCTTTAGGTTTTCCCATAAAAAACCTTAATCGTTTGAGTCATGGTTGAGATTAGTAAGATCCTACTCATCATTGCCAGACGATGGATCCTTTCAATTGGCTATATTTGAAAGAAAAATATTATTTACAGAGAGTTTTCAATTATCTTATTAGGATGATGGCTACCCTTTGAAGCTCCTTTGACAAGATGAAAGAACAGTAATTAAACTTAAGATAAAAATTACTGTCCATATCCAATGTAAATTCCCCTTCTTGAAATCCAGCCCCATCTGCCTGTTTTAACTTCCTTTTTCCCCACAAGATTTACACAGAGCACTCCAGCCTAATTTCTAGGTTCAATATATACAGGTTAATCATGTAAATGCCAAAAGCCAGGAAATAAACTTAACAGTTTATTATTAAACTTAACAGACTGACAGTAAGGCCTGCTTTGCTCCTGCTTTTCAGGACTCCATAATTGGACTCTGCCAGCTTCAGGCATTTCTATGCAATATCCTTTATAGATGTATCCTAGACACTCCCACCTTCACCATACACGCGATAAAATTTATGCCCGCTGGACAGCAGCATAGCCCTTTTACTTCCACTTTCAGAAGTTCCTACCAAATTTAGAGAGGAATTAGGAAGATTAGTGGTCATCCACAACACCCCCACCCCTCACACAAACGGATGACCAAAATGTCTCCTAGGAGACATTTGGCCTAATAGAGGCCAAGGTTAAATTGTATACCTCAGAAAGAGGTTTTTGTAAAAAATGCTTTGTACAGACTTTTCAAAGGCATAAGTATTTTGACTCCCATTTTAGTTCTAAATCTCCCTGATATAGGAAGCAAGTTCCATTTTATTTATTTATTTATTTTTTTTTAATTTTTTTTTTTCAACGTTTATTTATTTTTGGGACAGAGAGAGACAGAGCATGAACGGGGGAGGGGCAGAGGAAGAGTGAGACACAGAATCAGAAACAGGCTCCAGGCTCTGAGCCATCAGACAAGAGCCTGACGCGGGGCTCGAACTCATGGACCGCGAGATCATGACCTGGCTGAAGTCGGACGCTTAACCGACTGCGCCACCCAGGCACCCCGCAAGTTCCATTTTAAAAGGCAGGTCAGTCCCTTGACACCCTAGTACTTTGTGGAAATTTAAAAAAACCTGCCTTTGTCTTGCAAATCTCTAATGTGTTAAAAGACTATCGCTTGTAATTCTACTTATTATCTTGAATTGTGTGTCACAGAAGTAACCAAATTTCCATCTCAACTGCATCATGAATTCTAATCATATTTTTAACCACTGTCATTTTTAAATCTTTTATCATTTATAAACAGCTTTACTTTTATTCAATGCTTTCACAAGTGTTGCTACAAAAATGCTTCATCTTCAAGGAAACTCATGAAAAACACTCTAGGATACAGGTTTCTGAGAACTTTAAGATCTTTAAGTAAAAAATCCAGAGTTAATGGAAAAACTGGATTTAAACAAAACAAGAATAATTCCATGTGAGTGAATAAACTGATGAAGAGGAGTAATATAATTTTTATGACTTTTGGTTAGAAATATTGTTGGTTTTTTTTTGAGAGAGAGAGAGAGAGAGAGCGAGCACGTACACGAGCGGGGGAGAGGTAGAGGGAAAGGGAGAGAGAATCTTAAGCAACTCCATGCCCACCGTGGAGCCCAACTGATAGGTCTATCCTATGACTCTGGGATCATGACCTGAGCTAAAATCAAGAGTTCGATGCTTAACCGACTGAGCCACTCCAGTGCCCCAAAACATTGCTGATTTTTAAGAATGTTTTATTTCCAGATTTAAGAAAACTTTTTCCCTTAAGCTAATGGGTTTACAGCAATAAATTACACATTTATAAACAGATTTGAAACCTTTATCTTCTCCTTACCTGATCCCCCCCCCCACCACCCAGAATGTGGAAACTCTCTGTTACTTTATATTTTCATGGCAATATATTTATTTGCATGAATTCAATAAGAATCTGTTCTCCTTGTAACAGGATACAATTGGAAACATGGGCTATATCATCAAGGCTTTGACGGGGATGTCATATTTGAGGGAAACATGCATAGACTCAGATATGACCAAATAGCTTTAAGGAACTGAAGTTGACTTAATGGAGCTAATAAAGCCCATTGCAAATATCAGCCTGACACCTTGCTTACAGAGTAACCGGCAGCCTTACAAGGTAAGTAAGGAAGATCACTTCATTGTAGGTACAAGAACCTCAGGACATTTTGGGGACATCAAGAATAAAGGAAGTAACACAAATTCATAGGTATTATAGGCAAAGTTTGATGATAAGTGTTTGGCTAAACTTCTTAACCTCAAGAGTCTATTAAAATTTCAGTCTGAAGATTCCTTATGAAAAGTTCCAGCAAAGCAGATTTAAAAGACCACAATCAATTACTATACTTGCTGTCCTTATGTAAAGAAGGCCAATTTTAATAAAAGCAAACTTATTTATAGACAAGTTAGTCTTATTTTGGCTAACTTTGAAAATGAGGGTGACCTCAGAGAGAAAAAATTGTTTCAGTAATACTTTTGTGGATATTAGATTCCAGTTCTGTTGACTATCTTTGAGGTTTTGTGTTCTACCTGTAAACCAGACTAGATTCTGAATTCTGATGTCTTGTGACTGGCTACAACTCTCCAAACAATGTTTCTGATTTTCTCCCATCCTTTTGATTTAGAATCATTGAGAATTAAAACAGACTTCTCTCCCTGAAGCCCTGCAAACTAAATATGAATGACTTGATATAAACTTCAGGAAAATCAGCACAGTAGATAACATAAAGGTAATTTTCATGCCTGATGCTCTCTGGGCCATTCAAAAAACTCAGGAGAGACATTCAAACTACACACTAGGAAAATCTCTCAGACTTCCATTACCTTCCCTCGCTGTATTTGAAGACGCTTCAAGCCTGACATTTATGCAAGTGGTTGCAGATGGCCCCAGCTCCACACCCCTGGAGTGCCCTGCCTACATGAGGCTGACAGACTGGGTCAGGCTAAGTAGGGACCTGGAACACGTCAAGTGTTAGGAGCAGCTGGTGATGGGAGACGGCTACTGGGGACACAAGGAATCTGCCTAATTCCAAACCTTAACATACATAAATGCACATATTCCTCCTGAATGTAAAATTGGAGGAATCTGGACCATATTGCTAGGGCAGAGCTGGGAGGACTAGCTAGGGGTATCCTTCAGTAACAGACATTTGGGAGCCCTGATGTTCAACATGTTCTGGACCTCATCAGGCATCCAGTCCAAAGGGGGGATTACTGCTGCCTCAGAAATATTTTTGGAGGGAGGATGTCTCTATCCTGCGGCCATTCACAGGGTTTTGGTGTGGCAGGAGTTCAACAGGCCTGGAGTGCCCCAGCCGCCCAAGACTGGCTGATAAGGTGCAGACTGTGCATGCTCGGGAGGTACAGTTCAGGGTAACCAGGGACCTGGAATGGTACTGTCAGGCAAGGCTGGGTCACAGGAGGGGGCTATTGGAGGTAACTGGCTTCTGCCTAATTCCAAATCCTAATCTGTACACATGTGCGTACTTCCCCTGAAGTCAGCGCTGGAGGAATATGGACTACCTTACGAGGGCTAAATTGGGTGGCTTGCTAAGGAACTTCAATAAGAGATGCCTGGGACCCCAGCAAACAGTAAGTACACATGGGGACCAACTTGGCTATTTCAGTGGTAGATAAAACTGAGCCTGATTTGGGAATCTATATTTTGGTTAAAAGTTCTGTATACTAAGTTACAAAGTATAGGCTACTATTGTGGCTTCTACTATGACCATGAGAGGCTTTCTTAATATAAATTCCCATATTCTTAGAATAAAAATTTGTGGTGAGACAGAAGTCAGATGTATACCACCATGGATAATGGTATGTACTAAGTTTCCTATGTGTCCTTTGTAGACCTTACTAGGTGTCTGTTCTTATAAAGTCTGGACATAGTGTGCATGAATGTATTCTTAATTTTCTAATAAGTTGAGAGTATAGTAAAGTTCAATTTTTTGGCTAATTTATATTTACAAATATAATTGCCCATTCTGAATATTTAGCAGTTGCTCTTGTAAGATAAAGTGCTACTACACAAAATAAGTCAGGAATTAAATTGATGTTATTTTCAGAATCTCTGGCATGTGTCCAGTGCTACATTCAATTTTGTAAGATAAAAATTACAGAAATCAGTACCTGGTTGTCTTGGTATATACGCTAGCTTATAATACCAAGAGACAGTGGTTCAGGCCAATCTTTCTCCTTCAAGTCAGTTTCTAATAGGGCGTGTTGTTCAGGATCCATAATGATTCTCGTGGAGATTGAAGTAGAAGTTTCCACTTTATCAGCTTCCCTAGGTATTTGGTTTCTCCATTGATTGAAGGTTTCACAGTGAATAGATAGATCTTATAGTAAAGGGGAGGGGTGGCAAGGTTGCATTTGGTGATGCTGGTGATGTTGTTGAGTCCTCAGTTGCAATAAGGTGATAGGGGTAGTAATCTGTGGAGGAGAAAAAGATGTCACAGACCCTGGAGTTGTATCTGCAGCAGAATGTGGCAATCTATTTTGTATAACCACCATTGCTGAATAGGTCATGGAAGTATCCAAAGCTGCAATGAGTATGGTATCCAATAGTGAGCAGTAAGGTAGCATACTGCATTGACCCCCATAGTAATACTTAGGGGTTTAATAATGCATAACAGATTCATGCCTACAAAATTAAGATAGTGTCCTATAAATTTGTAAATCTTGGCAGCTGTTGTTCTTGCCACTCAAGGAGATCTATAGTTTATGGCCAATATTGGCCATTATTGCGAATACCGCCCCAAGCATAATCATCCTGCATCATACTAGGCTAAGTATTAAACATCTAGTGTTGATACAGTAAAACATGGTGTTCTTCATACCTGAAATTTTTATAGACGATTTAGTTTGATGTAGTATTCTTTCTTCTTTGGTCAACGAGATTGTTTTTTTAAATGGCAGGTGCTATAATTTCTGCAGTACTCTAATGATTGTTTTTAAATCAGATTAGTTTTGATTCTGGAGTGTTGTTAGTGCTAATTCCTATCTCTGTGGATGTCTGCCGTATTAATTCAATAGAAGTTTTTCTACCATTCTATATCTATGGTTTAGAGATCTTGCTGCCTCCCAGATCATCTTAGTCCAGACTTTCATACCTAGATTGTTACTAAGCAACCTAAGCTTTTGCTTGAATAAGCCATACTTCTCAACTGATCCAGAAGCAGTTGGGTTGTATAGTATCTAGAAATTCCACAATATGCTGTATTTCCCAGCCCATTCTTAGATTAGCTTTCCTGTGAAATGTGTGCCCTAATCTGATTTTATGATGTTTGGGATACAATCAGAAATGATTCAGATTTCTAAAGCTCTTTTGGTGGATTTGTTAAAATTAAGTTTAAAAAATTTTAATTCCAGTAAAGTTAACATACAGTGTTAGATTAGTTTCAGGTGTACAATAAAGTGATTCAACAATTCTATACATTACTCAGTGCTCATCGTGATAACTGTACTCTTAAACCCCTTCACTTATTTCACCCATTCCCCCCCCACCTCCCCTCTGGTAATCATCAGTTCTCTATAGTTAAGAGTCTGTTTCTTGGTTTGTCTGTTTTCTTCTTTGTTCGTTTCTTAAATTCCATACGTGAGTGAAATCATATGTTACTTGTCTATCTCTGACTTACTTCACTTAGCATTATACTAACTTAGCTTAACTTAACTAACTAACTTAACTAACTAACTTAACTTCACTTAGCATTATACTTCACTTAGCATTATACTTACTTCACTTAGCATATACATCCATGTTGTTACAAATGGCAAGATTTCATTTTTTATGATTGAAATAATATAATAATTCCATTCTTTATCAATTCATCTTTCGATGGGCACTTGGGCTGCTTCCATAATTTAGCTACGGTAAATGATGCTGCAATAAACAAAGGGGTGCATGTATCTCTTTGAATTAGTGTTTTTGTATTTGAGGGGTACATACTCCGTAGTGGGATTACTGCATTAATGGTAGTTCCATTTTTAACTTTTTGAGGAATGTCCGTACTGTCTTCCACAGTGGCTGCAACAGTTTCCATTCCTACCAACAGTGCACAAGGGTTCCTATTTCTTTGCATTCTCTCTAACACTTAGCTATTTCTTTTGTTTTTGATTTTATACATTCTGACAGGTTTGAAGTGATATCTCATTGTAGTTTTGATCCATTTTCCCGATGGATGAATGATGTTGAGTATCTTTTCGTGTGTTTGGCTATCGGTATTTCTTCTTTGGAGAAATATCTGTCCATGTCTTCTGCCCATTTATTTTTATTTAAAAAATTTTGTAATGCATGTTTATTTTTGAGAAAAAGAGAGAACAAGAGCAAGTGGGGGAGGGGTAGAGAGAGAGACACACAGAATCTGAAGCAGGCTCATACGGGGCTCCAACACACCATGAGATCATGATCTGAGCCAAAGTTAGACTCTCAACCAACTGAGCCACCCAGGTCTTCCTGTCTTCCACCCATTTTTAATTGGATTGTTTTCTGGATGTTGAGTTGTACAAGTTCTTTATATATAAAGAATATATAAGTTCTTTATATATTTTGGATACTAACCCTTTACTAGATGTCATTTACAAATATCTTCTTCCATTCAGTAGGCAGTCTTTTAGTTTTGTTGATTATTTCTTTTGCTGTACAGAAACTTTTTATTTTGATATTGTCCCAATAGCTTATATTTGCTTTTGATTTCCTTGCCTCAGGAGACATATCTAGAAAGATGTTGCTATGGCCAATGTCAAAAAGAATTATTACCTGTGCTCTCTTCTAGGATTTTTGTGGTTTCAGGTGCCACATGTAGGTCCTTTAATCCGTTTTGAGTTTATTTTTGTGTATGGTGTTAGAAAGTGGTCCAGTTTTCATTTTTTTGCATGTAGCCACCCAGTTTTCCCAGCTCCATTTGTTGAAGAGGCTTTTTCCCATTGCATATTTTCAGCTATTTTATAAAAGATTAATTGACCATATAAGTGGGGGCTTATTTCTAGGTTTTTCTGTTCTCTTGTTTTAATCTCTTTGTCTGTTTTTGTGCCACTTACATCCTGTTTTGATTACTATAGCTTTGTAGTATAACTTGAAATCTGGAACTGTACTAGCCCCAGTTTTGTTTTTCTTTTTTCAAAATTGCTTTTGCTGTTTGGGGGTCTATTGTGGTTCTATAAAAATAATAGGATTGTTCTAGTTCTGTAAAAAAATGCTGTTGGTATTTTGATATGGATTACATTAAATCTAGTAATTAAATCTAGATCACTTTGGGTAGTATGGACATTTTAACAATATCTGTTATTCCATTCCATAAGCACGGAATATCTTTCTACTTGTTTGTGTTGTCTTCAGTGTCTTTCATCAGCATTTTATAGCTTTCAGAGTACAGGCCCTTCACTTCTTTGGTTATGTTTATTCCTAGGTATTTTATTATTCTTGGTGCAATTGTAAATGGGATTGCTTTCTTAATTTCTGTTGCTTAATTATTAGTATATAAATACATTATATATTTTGTATCCTGCAACCTTAATGAATGTATCAGTTCTAGTAAATTTTTGGTGGAGTCTTCAGGGTTTTTATATATAGTATCATGTCTATATATAGTATCATATGATACTATATAGAATCACTGCAAATAGTGAAAGTTTACTTCTCCCTTACTGATTTGAATGCTTCTTATTCCTTTTTCTTGTCTGATTAGTATGACTAGGACTTGTAGGACTACATTGAATGAAATTGATGACAGTGGACATCCTTGTCTTGGTCCTATCTTAGAGGAAAGTTCTCAGTGTTTCACCATTGCATATGATGCTCACTGTGGGTTTTTAATATATGGCCTTTATTATTTTGAAGTGTGTTCACTCTAAACCTACTTTGTTGAAAGTTTTTTTATCATGAATGAATATTGTACTTTGTCAAATGCTTTTTCTGCATCTATTGAAATGATCATATGGTTTTTATCCTTCCTCTTGTTAATGTCATGTATCACATTGATTTGCAAATATTGAACTGCCTTGCATTCCAGGAATAAATTCCATTTGATCATGGTGAATGATTTTTTAAATATATTGTTGGATTTTTTTTTTTGCTACTATTTTATTGAGGACTTCCCATTTATGTTCATCAGAGATATTAGCCTGTAGGCTTTTGTTTTTGCTTTTTTGCTTTTTGTAGTATCTTTATCTGGTTTTGATATCAGGATAATACTGGCCTCAGAATGAATTTGGAAACTTTCCCTTCCTTTTCTGTTTTTGGAAGAGTTTGAGAAGAATAGGTATTAATTCTTCTTTAAATGTTTGGTAGAATCCACTTGTGAAGCCATCTTATCCTGGATTTTTGTTTATTGGGTGTTTTTGAATTACTGATTCCAGTTTCATTGCTAGTAATCAGTGTATTCATATGTTCTATTTATTCCTGATTCAGTTTAGGGAGAGTATATGCTTCTAGGAATTCACTTCTTCTAGGATGTCCAATTTGTTAGCATATCATTTTCCTTAACATTCTCTTATAATCCTTTGTATTTCTGTGGCATTGTTATTTTTCCTCTTTCATTTCTTTAAAAAAATTTTTTTTAAATATGAAATTTATTGTCAAATTGGTTTCT